CATTTTGGATTGTCTAAAACTGCTTGGTAATGGCCAGTCATTTCTTGTCCAAAACGCCTCTATTTGTCTGTCGTTAAATGATGAAAAACACAAGTAATCAAATCATTTAGTGATTTAAATAATTTTGAAGGAAGTTTTTTCGGCAGAAATCCATGCATTGTTCCTTAGCATCTTGGCATTTTTGGATTCTGAACTAGGCATTGTAAGGGATGCAATAAGCATGCTTTGTACATAACGTGATGCAAACTCGTATCCTTGAAGTGTTCTTAATGTAGGTTAGATAGACGTAGACGTAAACGAAATCTCCCTTTTCGGTGTCGGTATAGAAACATCAACTGTTCCCGCGTTAGATTTTTGCATACTGTACAATTTTCCCATCGCCTAGCTTGCGATTAAACTTGGCCAGTGTAATTCAATGAACTTGAAAATTTGCACTTCAAGAAATATGATTTGGTGGAGCAAATTCCTTAGGAAACGGTGAGCGGTTTACAATCCATTTTGCTTACAGTTTGAGGTAGGGGTCACGTAGTTCTCATAAAAATTTTGCAATAGACACGGATCATGGTGTTTACATTATAGGCAGCATTAATAAATTGAAGGATGTGATGTATTATAAATGCGCAACTCAAAATCGTCAAAAATCGCATAATTGGCAATTTTTTTATAACCGAAAATATCGTTTCTCTAGGTATAAAATGTGAAAAAGGCGTAATATCCTACCAAATGATTACAGGGATTATTTTTTCGTATCCATTTCCTATAACGTATACTTAAATAAATGACGGCAGTCAACAAAAATGATAAAAAAATGCAAATTACGTGAGTAGACACTTTTTGCGGTACGTACGTCCTGTTTGCCAGTCAGAATGGAATTAGTTAATAAGCCGGCTTTCAGAATGGCCTACACGATAATCAGTAATACAAACTTACTGAAAGCCGACTAGCGAAAGAATATAAATATTTCACATGTTTCGGCATGTTACATGAATTCTGGGCCATACTGTATCCATGTAAGTGGGTAAACCTGTAAGCCAAACATCTAACTCTGATCCTTGGCTCTTTCCGCAAGTGGG